ATATTACAGAACCACACACACACATACACACAATAGATCAATATTAATAATAATAATAATAATAATAAAGAGTGGCGGAACTAGGGGGTGGAAGACGGGGATTCATTCTCGAACGTAACATTTTAGAGGGTGTAATTTTTGTGATTATTAACAGCTACTTTGATAGTTTTAAATTTGTTGTATGATTGTATATTAATTATTAGAAAAAAATTTTTCGAAAAGAGTATTTGATTAATGGTCTACGATAGGGCGTAATTTTAACATTTTCTCCGGGCGTAAACATTTCTAGTGTCACCTCTGATAATAATAATAATATTTGTTTTGGACTTAAATAATATTAGAAAGATAGAAATAATGGTAAAAAAAACACGAGTACCGCGGTGGTAAATATAAATATAATAAAAATAATAGGAACAACCACAGATACGCTGTCACCCCGAACCATCTGGTGTTCGTATGGATGCGCCCACCGTACTAAAGACACGTGCGACGAACACCAAGATCGGTAAATTCATTTCCGTTAACGATGAGCGGAAGATTGTGCGGAATGAACTAACGTTCTCCAACAGTGGAACGTTCTGGTAATAATACACTCAGTATAGCAAATCAAAGAGTCAAACCCAGCCACGGACGAATAACGGACACAACGTGAAAAAGTCGTCACACCCAGACCCGGCTAAAAGGGTAGGCGACATAGGCTCACGCCTAGTGTGGCATTAAGCATTAATTATTTTTAAAGTATAAACTATTTTTAAAAATATATTACAATTCCCAGTAGCTACTCGTATAAAATGATATGTGGTAAAAAATATGACTATAAATTGTTTTGTTTTATTAGTAGTGGTTTACTTGTCATTACAAATGTATTAATCTAATCCAAAGTTCCATAGGCGTACGCGGACTTGGTCCACAGGGGGGGGGCCTTAAAAAAGTGAACCAAAGATTCTTGTACTAAAGATTACTAGTATAATTAAATATTTTAAATTATATAAATTATTTATTTAATTCAATATGCAGATATAAAAATAAATACTATTTAATCTTACACAATTTATATCTAAGAAATCCTTATTTGCATATTATTATACTATTTACAACTCCATCCTTTTGTCCACGGGAGTAAGGTTTTTAAATGTATCAATTACATCTTCAATTTTTATATTATATGCAAGTTCTGATTAGTCTGAT